ATTAATGTTTGTGGCTTACCCTCCTTGTGAAGGGTGTCAATGATTGTCTTCTGGACAACTGTCAGATCAGCAGTCTTCCCCATGATTGTGTAGCCTAGTGAACCAAACTGAGAGACCATTTTGAAGGCTCAGGAAACCTTTGCAGGTGTTTTGAGTTGATTAGCTGATTGGCATGTCACCATATTCTAATTTGTTGAGATAGTGAATTGGTGGGTTTTTGTTAAATGTGAGCCAAAATCATCACAATTAAAAGAACCAAAGACTTAAACTACTTCAGTCTGTGTGCATTGAATTTATTTAATACACGAGTTTCACAATTTGAGTTGAATTACTGAAATAAATGAACTTTTCCACGACATTCTAATTTATTGAGATGTACCTGTAGTTTATGCATGTATAATATAGTTTATGTGAAGATTGTTTTAAAATCACTTAAATTAAAAGTTGTTATATATTGCAGAGCCTGTTAAATGTTAAAAATAATGGCTTTCAATTATACTGTAATGTTGAATGGCTATAATGAATAGGGAAAATTGAGGGAAAATGCACCAGCAGGACAAATTAAAAACACTGTAAATATGTTTAGTCATTGTAGTAGTAATAACAGCCCGTTTTTGCAAAAAGAGTTTCATGGCCGGTAAAACAATAAAAAATATTGGCCGGTAAATTTTATCATGTCACTGGCCATTGGCAGGTGTGGCAAAAAGTTAGCTTTAGGCCCTGTATGTACACCTGCACACTGAAAAGAAAGAAACTGTGTAAAGGAAACCCTGGTTAAAGAAACTGCAATATCAATCGGCGAGTTTGAGTTGGTCTAGATGGCACTGTCGAGCTAGTAGTTACCTGGCAAGCTCCAGCAGGGCGTTCTGTCGGTACTGTTCTTCTGGATTCGTGGGCTCACAGTCATGCTCATCAAAATATGAGGCCATTTTCTACTTCACCTGATAAACACATAAGACCATCTGAATGACATTTAACGGAGTGGTTGTGGAAACCTGAAGGTTCAAGATCGGTTCTAACAATGAATTTGCTAGTTCACTCTCATATAAAAATAACCTGGAGAGTTGAGAGTTTAAGCAACTATCTTTTATAACCAATGTTTATATTTTCGAAACCAATGTTACACTGATCCAACTAAGTGACGGTTTTACGATGATCTTACTATATTTACTACATTTAAACTGCTTACTATTCAAGAGTAATTGTCAGGTAACGGTTACTCTTTCTCTTCTCAGACTTACTGACAGCCAAAGAGACACGTGTTTGGATTTGAGCTTTTCACAGATCCAATGGCTTTGAAAAGATACATGCTGCTGACATCAATATCCAATAACTAATACCACTGCTAGCTGGCTAGCAGCATAACAATTCAAAGTTCTAATTTACCAAACATCAATAAATCTCAAAAAGTATGTACTAACCTTATTCGTCTAAATGTGTAAACAAAAAAATAAATAATTAAATAAACGAAATTCGACCTACTGTAAATTCACCCACGGTTATGAAATTGCTAATCATCAGGATGGAAACTTGTTTCACTGCACTGTCAGCGCGAATACAACAACTCTCGCGATATTTGCGAGAGGACTGGAGTTGCCAGAGTGTGGTTAAAAAATCCCCCAGCATTGTCATTGTAATTGTTAGTGTTAAATAAGATGTACAGCAGATGTATGTCACTGTTAATTATATAAATGTTTGTTTTTAATTAGAAAACTTAGCAACATATATAGTGTTTATTAAAAAGCTTTGCATTGTGCACAGACAAAAATAAATCTCTTCAAGTTTCTAGTCCTGTAGGCAGTTAGTGGGTGTGTGTGGTTGCCATGACACTGAGGACACCAATTTCTGCTGTTCAGACCCGTTTCTAGAGAAAACTTCGAGTGGAAACACATTGACGTAAGTGTAAAACCCTAGTTTAAAAACCCGGCCAATGTTTGAGAGTTCTGAAACAAAGCAAAAACTGATTTAATTACTGTTAATTCAGTGAGAGCTACGAATAAAACCATGCTGCACTATGTGTATTTTTTCTTCCCAGCAAGAGAGAAAAAGTATTGGAAATGTACCTAGCTATTAATTAGCATAAGTAAATACACATATGTGAAATATGCAACTTTGCATTATCCTCGTATGAAATCTGTGAAGTGTTGTATTTTATTAGACTTTATGAGGTTCTTTAGGAGTCCCTAGTATTTGTTGGGGACCCCTTCTGCTGCGTTTCCTAGGCAACCATATACCCAACAACTCCCCCCTTAAAAGAGCTAAGTTAGTTTTATATTTCATTCTCATGCAGAAATGAACTTTCTCATTTTAGAACAACGATGGAAAATGAAAGATCTGGAGAAAACACTGATGAACTGCTCTCTGTAGGTCAGAAACCATCGAAATTTCCCTTTCATGCTTATCCTGTATCTGCTGTAGTACAAACTGCTGTATATCTCTTTTCTTCTCAGATGTGGATGAGGGGGTTGATGTTTACGGGCTTATACCTCTGGCATTGTCCCATGATCACTGTGATGTACTACTGGATGCCATAGACACACAACTGAGTCATCTACAGGTCAAGCACTTAGAGTCTGATGAAATATTGATAAGCATGGCGTATTATTTTTGTCATAGCCAGAGTAGAATTTTGTCCCGATTTTGTATTCCACCAATAGATCCACAGCCAAAGCCGAATGCATGGAGCAAACTCCAAGAGATATGAATTTCCTTTCTTGGGTAAGCATGAACCATTTTTTCTGCAATAATAATCATAGAATGTTTAGTAGATTTTTAATGTCCTATTTATTTATTCTTATTTTGTCTTATTTATTTATTATTAGTAAATGCAGTTGTTTTCCTAATGTTCTATATATTCCAGGCTATCTTGATCGGAGTCAGTCTGTAAGTAAAGACACAGGCTTGGGTAGCACTGTTCCAACCAATGATAAAACCCCATCCAACCTTGACAGGATTCAGTCAGGTAGTCCATGCAATTTTTTCCCATATGTAATCGTAAATATAACCAAATAATTTTCCAAAGGTGAACAGTTATGAATATTAGGCATAGGCATAGCTTGACATTTGAGCTCGAGCCAAGCCAGTCGATCTGGTCAGTCAAACTCATTTTAGCTTTTCTATAGTACACCTACAAATTTATACTTCATGCACCGTTTACGTGATTTTACTATGATTACACTGATCAGCGGCAAGCATGTGAAGATTGTCACTGCAACCAGATAAACTGTATGGAAATTACTTGTATATTTTAGCCACGCTAAACTTAGCAATTATAAATACATTGAAAATAACGCACTATAAACATGTTTGTCAACATAATCTCAAAGTAGACCTCTATTAAGCAAATCAAGGAGTAAATAACCTACTCACTGCTTTAAAACAGACATCTGATTCAAGTCTGCTTAAATGGCAGGCACACAAACACTTTTTTTCTTACAAAATTCCAAAAGAAATGCACAAGATAAATGTTAATTACTTTATGAAATCTTATGTTAGGCCTATTATATTTTTTATTCCATACCCCTACTTTAATTCATGTAATCGTATTTTTTTAAATCTATCTCCCCTCTAGTTTAGTTAGTTATTTTATAACTTATGCTGTCTCTACTTTTTGTTAATCTAGTGTTATTATATTTCTTACACTGGCACCCCTCTACTTTCGTTAATGTTATTTTATAGCATAATAGAATTGAAACTTTATAGAATCTAAACAGTTTCTTACAGACTGTTTATTGGTGTCTTCCATATAAATCCATCATAATTTCCTCTTCAAAATATCAGAAGGCAAAGATGACAAAACAGAGCATCAGACAATGGAGATGACAAAGTTTGGCGTCGCAGCTACAGATGTGTGGCGTCCTGAGGAAAGTGGCAGCTTGAGCTCCGTGTCCAGGGTAGAGCAGTGTTGTTGGAGACTGGAGAGGCTTCTTGGGAGAAATGCTGAGGTGGCAGGGATGGGAAATGAGGAGGACGACGTCACGATGGACAGCGTCTGCACTGAGGACTTCTCAACACGCTTTGGAGAGGAAATGTTGGTCCTGCCAGCCTCAGGTACTCAAACTTAGCAAGGAGAAGTAAACAGTTACCTCTCTAGTCTATTATCTGATCTTGTGTGATAGGTCAGAAGGAGGAAAATGATAAAAACCACTGATAAATAGCACCAAAATAATCAGACAGGTGGCAGCAGAGCACTGTAGAAGGTCTGTTTTATGAATGATTTTCCCATTCATATTTGTGACCCTGGACCACAAAACCAATCATAAGGGTCAAAAGGGGGTTTTGAAATTGAGATTTATACATCTGGAATCTGAATAAATAAGCTTTCCGTTGATGTACAGTTTGTTATGATAGGACAATATTTGGCCGAGATACATCTATTTGAAAACCTGAAATCTGAGGGTGCAAAAAAAATGTAAAAATCAAAATATTGAGAAAATCACCTTTAAAGTTGTACAAATATTACTAGTATGAATATTACTAATCAAAAATTAAGTTGATATATTTACGGTAGGAAATATATCAAAATATCTTCTTGAAACATGATCTTTACTTAATATCCTAATGATTTTTGGCATAAAAGAAAAATCTATAATTTTGACCCATACATTATATTTGTCACGGTTGCACTACTGAGTGGAATGCGGAGCAAGGAACGGAGGGAGACAAGTAGTACATCATTAATAATAATTTATGCATTTAGCAGACGCTTTTATCCAAAGCGACTTACAGTGCATTCAGGCTATATATTTTTTACCAGTACATCAAGCCAGAGAACTTTAATTATAACAAGGAGAACTCACGTAGCACATGAAGACATAATACCGGATGCTGAACTAAAAACAGGGAACACTATTTAAACACATGACAAGACGAGGGGATGACTAGACACACTTGGGATCAATGGAAATAAACGGGGAACACCTGGAATTAAATCAACATAATCAGGACAGGAACAGGAAACTAACCAAATATGGGCAAGGAGGGCACATGGGGAGCAAAACACACACAAAACACGGAACAAAGTCTGACAGTATTGTTGGCTATTGCTATAAATAATAAATATACCCGTGCTACTTATGACTGGTTTTGTGGTCCAGGATTACTTACAGAAACATGAAGAAAGTTACTAATAAATGGGATATAAATGTAATATTCACTTTTTACTTTCATTTACATTTCTGTATTCCAAAAGGGGTTTTTTTTCAGCGATGCCATAGATAGAAGAACCATTCTGTGTTTCCCAAAGAACATTTCAGTGAACAGTTCTTAAAATAACTGGGGGTTTTTTTCATAGCGTGAGGAGCATTTTAATAATCTCAAGAACCTTTTACCACTATAAAGAACCTTTTGTGCAATGGAAAGGTTCTATAAATGTTAAAGGTTCTTCATAGAACAATTAATGCTAATATAGAACCTTTATTTTTAAGAGTATACTTCATTGATGTGTAGTCAGTGTACAGTATTATATACAGTAGATGTGTAAGAGGAATTTCATGTTTTTAAAGCATGCTTGCCAAATCTTCTAAAAGTCGCCACAGACCTCACTGAGCCCCAGAGGAGCCCTTGCCATGAAAGATCTAAGAATGATCCAGAACATCCATGCAGAACACCTTTGAGGCACCTCACAGGTACAGCAGGACCTGTTTTTCTATCTGTATTTCTTAAGATCTGTTATGGTTATATCTCCTTTGTGAATCACTGAAGCAAGACAGAAAACATGCTCAAATAAAACCTTGTCCTCTGATAGGAATCCCCATGCAGAGTTTTGATTCAGTCACCATAGACACTGATCTGGACACAGTGTGCTCAGAACAGGTTCGACAGCACCTGAAGTCTGGAAATAGCAACAGGACAAGTACAGGTGTGGGCAACATATTAACTTATGCATGTCAAATGTCATGTGTTCTATTTGTGTGCTGAATGCATGTGTGATTTGCATTTGCATGATTTGCATGCATGCCACAGACACACACTTCGCAAAATATGCCGATAGAGTAAACTCTGACTAGGAATACAATGGCAAATATGGTGTTATCTTTCTTTACATTCCTTGTAAACTACAGCTTAGGGGGTTTATTTGAATTCACTCTTATACATATATTACACAGTGATATCGCATTGTTGTGATGTGCAATGATGCAACTAAATTACACTACTGTTTGGGGTTGGTAAAAAAAATAATAATTATTATATTTTTGAAAGAAGTCTTTTATGGTCACTAAGTCTGCATTTATTTGATCAAACATACAGTAAAAACAGTAACATTCTGAAATAGTACTACAGTTTAAAATAGCTATTTTCTATTTTTAAATATACTGGGGAGCAAAACACACACAAAACACGGAACAAAGTCTGACAGTATTGTTGGCTATTGCTATAAATAATAAATATACCCGTGCTACTTATGACTGGTTTTGTGGTCCAGGATTACTTACAGAAACATGAAGAAAGTTACTAATAAATGGGATATAAATGTAATATTCACTTTTTACTTTCATTTACATTTCTGTATTCCAAAAGGGGTTTTTTTTCAGCGATGCCATAGATAGAAGAACCATTCTGTGTTTCCCAAAGAACATTTCAGTGAACAGTTCTTAAAATAACTGGGG